CTCAGGATTTCTCCTAAGCCTGCCACGGAGCTGCAGGTCCACATAGACCTTCTGAGCAGTCCTTTACACTTCGTGCTTACAGAGCTGCAGGTCCACACAGACCTTCTGAGCAGTCCTTTACACTCCGTGCTTACAGAACTGCTGGTCCACACAGACCTTCTGAGCAGCCCTTTACACTCTGTGCTAGTAATCAATGATCCTTCGAGATGACCAGAATAGCGGTTTTCACACCGATGTCTGAGAGCCCAGGTTCCTCAGCAGTGGGAGCAATTGCAGGAAGAGGAAACACTAGCAGGAAAGGCTGCTCTCTGCCATCCCGCCACCTGCACAGGGTTCCTCTCTGCCTTTTCCATATATGACCAAGTTTTTATGGTTACTGCCAAGTTAACTATGTGCCTAGGAAAAGGATCAGGAAACTTTTTTTGTTTTTTGTTTGTTCGTTTTTTGAGAGAGGGTTTCTCCATATAGCAGCCTTGGCTGTCCTAGAACTCACTCTGTAAACCAGGCTATCCTCAAACTCACAAAGATCTGCTTGCCTCTGCCCCTGAGTACTGGAATTAAAAGTGTACACTACCACCACCCAGCTAGGATCAGGAAACTTTTTTCTCTTATTTTTCTCATTTAGGGTTAGGAAGCTTACAACTCCTCTCTGTCTTGAATTTTTTCTAATGTCCTGAATGTTTCTTCTAAAGACAGTGTCTCATATTATAGCCCAGGCTGGTTGTAGCAAAGTTAGGGTCAGGGTTAAGGTTTCTCCCATCTGGCACTGAAACAGGAATAAGCTACACCATATCACTGCTTTCTTAGCAGACTTTCAGTAATACACTTAATAGTGAATAGTGTTGTGGGCCATACATGGTCTACAGTTTTTGTTTTGTATTGTATTGTATAGGTTTGATGGCTGGAGAGATGGCTCAGCTATCAGAAGCACTGGCTGGTCTTCCAGAAGACCCAGGTCTACTCCTAATATCAACAGGGCCACTCACAGCTGTCCACAGCTCCAGTTCCAGAGGACTTGATGCCATCTTATGGCCTGCACATGTACCAGACACATAAGTAATACATAGATATACATGCAGGTAAATAGCCATACTCATAAAAAATAAAATAAAAACATAAAACCTGGGGCTGGGGAGATGGACCAGGAGGTAAAAGTAGGCTCTGTCACAAGGACCTGAGTTCAGAGTCCAGTCACCCATGCAAACAGCCAGGCATGATCACATCACCTATAACCCAGCTCTGGGGGGAAGGCATGTGGAAGCAGAGACAGGTAGCTCCTGGGAGCTCAGTCTAGAGATCAAGATTTAGGGAAAGACCCTGAATGTCTCAAAAAAACAAGGTGGAGAGGAAGACCCTCAACTTTGACCATTGGACACCACATGCACATATACATTCACGGGAGCATTTGTACCTGCACACATATGAACACAAACACATATACTACACACACATGCGCACGCATGCATGCGCTCACAGACACATAAATAAATAATAGAAAATTTTAACTGCTTTTAAAATACAAAAGCTATTCTTAGCTCAGGAATCATACAAAAATAGGCCTAAGATTGGATTTAGCTTACTGACTATATTGTGCCATCTCCTGGCTAATACAATTAAAAAATTGTATTGGCCTTAAAATTCAGATCCAAATTGTACATCGCTACAATAAATATGAATATGAAATACTACTATTATCAGAAAGCCTCATGGTGACAGCCAAGGAGAAAAGGACTCTGAGGTCCCCATATACTTATAAATGTCAGCGCCTTGGCTCCTTGTCATCTTGGGCCTGAGAATGGTGGACACATTAAAGGCAGAGGGCTCTAATGCCTGAAATGTCCACAGAAAGCCACCCAGCCAGGAAGCGAAGTGACAGTGTGAGGACAGTGCTGATAGGACTGCCTCCTTCTATTGCGGATCTGCAGCTTCCTTCTCCATGCTTCCTGGCGCACACAGGGCTGGCAGGGTTCTGTTAGTAACACTGAAGACAGATGCTTGTGTGTGCAGGGGTGGTCTGTGTAGGAATGCACACGTGCGTGCACGAGGAAGCCGGAGGTTGACATGGAGTGTCTCCCTTTCCTGCGCTACCCTATTTTGAGACAGTCTCTCTAACTGACAGAGCTCACTGATTGGTTAGACTGACTGACTGGCCAGCGAGCCCCTGGTGGCCTCCAGTCTCTGCTCCCCATGCTGAGGTCACAGGCATGTGCCACCGTTCCTGCCTTTTCCATGGCTGCTGCTGCTGTCGTGCATCAAGCACCCCACCCAATAAGCCACCTCCTCTGCCCCGACACCATTTTTAACCAGGAAAATTCAAGTTACAAGTGAGCAGAACCAGATTTTCTTCCCATTTTTAGACCATGTCAGTCCTGATGTGAAACAAACAAGAGGGAAGATGATGGGACCACAGAGAAACACTAAACACAGGCTAGATTTCCAAAAGTGGCTGCCTTACTACTTATTAAAATACTCTGGGCTCAGTAATTGCATTTCCATGAACTGAAATGGATGCACTCGCAGTTAGCACTTTAAACAAAGCTGGGCTTTCTACGGATACTTTATTTGTAAACCATCAGATAACCATTGGCACACCTGCGCAAAGGAACATTAATGCGGCTATTTACAAAACAAGGACTGGAGGACATCTTAATATCCTAATATGAAATAAATTTAAGAAGGGTGTCTAAAAACAAAAGGGAGGTGAGAAATGACTCAGGACTCACTTGTCTTTTCCTGTCTGGATAGAATGCCTCTGGGATTTTCAATAAACTAGTCATACTGGTTTGTGTAACAAGTAGAAGTTCAGGGACTGAGCGATGGCGTCAAAAGTGTTTTCTTGAAATAACCTCAACTTCCAGATTTTGAATCGTATTAATATATTTATCCAACTTAGAGCAGTTGGCTTAGTTGTTCTGTGCCTTTACAGACAGCAGCTACAGCTCCTCTCTCAGGCTCATGCTAACCAGACTCACTAACACGCCTCAGAGCTTTGAAGAACTGGATTGTCCTTGTCCAGCTGAGCAAGCCTTTTCTAATGGCACAGTCTGCAATGTCTGCTGTTACCCCTCACAGTTTCCCAGTAGACAGAGACAGTGATCACCTTCAGATCACGGCAGGGACATGACAAGAAGCCTGACCTCATTGTACCCACAGCCACCTATCGGCTTATGCAGGCCCAGAGCTCTTCCCTGTCAAAAACAACTTCCAAAGCTAACATCTGAGCAGTAGAAAGAGTCCTCCTTCAGGTATATCTCAAAGGCATCTTCTTCCTCCATGTCCCTTCTCAGCTGTTCTACTGGTTATTCGCCAAATTTAATGGGTGCATATATACAAATCCCCTCTCATCTCTGTTGGGTAAATAGACATTTCCAAGTAGAGACAAAGTCATAATATTTTGAATACAATGTGACAAGCATTTGGCGGTGTGAGCAGACATCAGGACAAATAACACCGTGTGTGTGTGCACTCCTGGAGGACAAACACAGTGACCATGGGGCCCCATGAAACACTCTCTTATTTAGTGATGGTTCCATTCTTTGTAGCATTAAAGGAAGCATACCTGTGGGATGTGGAAGAATCCTATAAATGTTAAATGTGAGCCTGTTTCTACTTGGGATGCACCAAGACACAGAAGTCCATAAAAAAGTTCACAAACTTAAAACCAAAAACAGTTCCTACTAATCTGGTCTATCACAAACCATATAGTTCCTTGACTACAACAGAATTGAACAAACCAACAAATGTTTAAAACCTTAAATGTTTAAAAAGCAACACTGAGAATTTAGGATAGAGGGGAAGTGGCGGGCGGGAGGGGGAGTAAGAGGGAGCAGGGAATGAAGGGAGGGGACACTGTAGTTGGAATGTCTTATATGAGAGAATTTACAAAAAGAAAGAAAGAAAAAAAAAACAATTACTGAAGGTGTAATCTGGGGAGCCTTTCACCCTTTCACCCTCCACGAGCCCTGAAAAGTATGTTAATATCCTCAAATGGAGAACTAAAACTCTCAGCAACGTTCATTTTCTGCAAAGTACCCTACTGGCCAGGCATTAGACATCAGAGAAAAGCAACTGGTTGTCTCTGCTCAAATTCCCATCAATCCTCGCCCATACCTGCACTCTTCTGAAGGCCTGAGGAACCACTTCTTACCTAGGTATTAGGGGATTAAGATCCAGCACTGTTCTCCCTGTTATCTGGAAAATGGCTCACCTCCTGGGCAGCTTCACCATCAGACTGAGGAGGCTCCAGGAGATTTCCTGAGAAATTTCAAGCACCTGCTCCCCTTTGTGCAGAGGGTTCCATTTCTCAAAGATTGTTACCAAATACCAGTCACCCAGCTCAGATCCCACTTCTGCTACTCACTAAACCCATACCTTTAGAACTATCATATAATGCCTCTCCCTAGCTTGTCCCTTGATCTATAAACAAAGGGGGTAGTGTAAGTGTTACAGCTCTGAAGAGAAAGGTATCCTGGCAGTCAGGAGCCAAGGAATACCACAAAGTCATACTGCACAACAAACCTCACACAAGAAATGCATTGGAAGTCACAAGAGGGTGGCTGCCTCTACTCTCAAGAGAAGTAGCAGAGAGCTGAGCAGGAGGCAGGGTTTCTTTGGAGTGGGGGGAGCTTTCCAGGGTAGCCTGTGACTGGTGGGATTCTGTGGCCTGATCTTGGGTGTTTTTTTCTGTAGGGCAGAGCTTGGCTGCCTTCATCACCAGAGGCAGAGACTAGTCCTTGGTGGTGGTGGTGGGGGGGGGGGGGGGCGGGCTGGCCACTTGTACGCCTTGAAGGGCTTACAGGTAGACTAAACAGGCTAAGTTATTGTGCAGACTGAGCAGTCTTACCATGACTGGCATGGCAATAGAAAAAAACCACAGCACCCTCCTCATACCCCATCCCCTCTTCCCGGAGTGTTCCCAGGGATGAGGCCTGGTGGACAGTCTACAAGAAAAGTGTCAACAAGACAGAGTTACCAGGAAAAGGGTTTCTGGGCGGACCTACCTTTCCCGCGTCCACCAGTTCTGCAATTTCATCTAGATATGGACCACTGGCCATGAAGAAGGCCCAGCGGTAATGAACTCCTTGCCAGAAATGCTGAAAGGAAGAAAATAATTATGGTGAGGGTATAGAAAAGGAGATCTGACTAACTGCAGCTAACCAAAGACATTTTCTGCAGGACCAAGACAAATGAACCCGTTTCCCATATCACGTTGACACATGATTGTATACTCAGAACCTTAGCATAAGCAAATGAACAAGACCTGCCCATGTCAACTCAGGGTCTCCATGTATGGCTGACACAGAAAAGCTTTCCTTAAATGACAGTCTGAATGTCTCATGTGCTGAACTGCTTACCTATGAGGAATCAGGAAGTCAAGAGGCACCAAAACTACATTTAAAACTGTTTTAGGAATGAGAGTCACTAAAACATGCTCTTAGAGAAGATTCAACTGTATTTTTTTTTTCTTTTTGATTCTGTCAGGAATAAGAAGCTTCAGGGAAAGGGTATGAAGTTGCTTTTATATTGGCTGGGTCTAATCAGGCGGCCCAGCTACCACTGTAGTTACTGTGACTGTCACACTATCCAGGCTTTGTAGAACAGAACCTCTCAACTTGATAGATGAGCAAAAATCTTACATGGAAAGGGTTCCTCCACTCAACTTCTGTACCACTTATAACAGGATCTCACCATGCAGCCCCGGCTGCACTCAACAGTGGCAACTTTCTGCAGGAAGTGAGTGGGATATTATCAAAACAGCAGTAAGCCAAGCTCCAAGACTTCTCAAGCTGGCTTGAGTCCTCAGAGATGGGTAAGGGCACTTAGTTCCATGCTTCTGTCTTGCCTGCTCCTACACACAACTGCAAAGTGAGGGCAGAATGTTCACTGAGGCCAGTCTTGGCTTGACAATCCCTGAGCCCAGGCTCTGTCATATGACCTGCAAGGCTGGGAGTCTATCTGATCACAACTGTTCTAGAGCAAAGCTTCCTAAACTGTGGGTCATGACCACATATGGAGTTATACAACTGAATGCATAAGTCATGAAAACTCTAACAGTAAAAGGCTCTGTACCGCGTATGTGGCTAGACACTGATGCACTGATTTTCGCAGCACAGGGTTCACCCAGTAAATGATAAGCACAGCAGACCTGTTCAACTGATTCTCCTACAGTCTGCTAAGGCTTGCGGGACCACAGTGAAAACATTCTGGTAACTGTCTGGGGCATTAAAAGGGGAAATAAAACGGTTACAACTGCCACATCTAAGTCCCTCACAACACATTCCTCTGTGAAGCCAACCACTTGATTCCTAACAGTGCACAAAGAACAGTCCAGATTCCTTCCTCTGCCAACAGCTACCATGTAGTTTTCCTTAAGCGGTTGTTTCTGGACACTGGCAGAAGGAGAGTGCACTCTGCTCAGCTCCGCACCACACACTTCAGGCAAGCTAATGTGCTGTGCTTCCTCACAGCTCTTCGCCTTCAACAAGGCGAGTCCTTGCTTCTAAGAAACCCAAGTCTTAATCTCCTAATGGTGCCCAAGTTCATTTCGAGCATAAAGAAGCATCTAGAGGAGGGTGGAGATGGTTCAGGGGTTAAGAGCACTTGCTGTTCTTGCAGAAGACCTGGGTTTGGTTCCCAGCACCTACACGGCAACTTACTACTGTCCTTGACTCCAATTCCAAGGGATCTGGCACTCTCTTGTGGCCTCTGATGGCACTAGGTACACACGCAGTACACTTCCACAGATGCAACCAATACATGCATACACATAAGTTAAAAATAATAAATTTTCTTTAAAAAGCAGTTAAAGGCTGAACACAGTGACACACACCTATAATCCAAGCACTTGGGAGGTAGAGGCAGGAGGAACACAAGTTTCAGGTAAACCTGACCTACATAATGAAACCCCATCTAAAAACAAAACAAAAAAACCTCTCAAGAGCCAGGGTGTGACTCAGCGGCACTTCTTGCTCCATATGTGTGAGGCCAAGTTCAATCCCTAGTTCTTCATTAAAAATCACGCATAAGGGGGCTGGAGAGATGGCTCAGAGGTTAAGAGCATTGCCTGCTCTTCCAAAGGTCCTGAGTTCAATTCCCAGCAACCACATGGTGACTCACAACCATCTGTAATGAGGTCCGGTGTCCTCTTCTACCTTCAGGCATACACACAGAATATTGTATACATAATAAATAAATATAAAAATAAATAAATAAATAAAAATCACGCATAAAAAAGAAGAGAAATTGATGGAAGGAAGGAAGAGGGAATGGGAAAGAAAGCTAAAGATAGTTAGCACACTGAACATGGTGATAGCTGCCTAGGTCCACCCAGGTGGACCTTGAGGACCTGTCTACTTCCTTTTCCTTGAAAATGAAGTAGTTTAAAAAACAACATTTATCTTTATTTTCTTCTATCATGTATACCATTTCACTCCAATTCAATACTCTAGAACTGCCCCAATTTATAACCTGAAATTACTACATCAGCCTCTGTCCCCACTGTGGTGACAAGAGGTGACGGCATTAAGTAGAGGGCAGACACTTTAAGTCCTTCCTCAGTCCTGTAACTGAGGCTATAAGCACTAATTCCCAAGGCCCACCAGTTTCCGGGGGCATTCAGCTTGGGCACTGGAGCACTGTACAGTCCCAGAAGCCGTGGCCTATCAACACAGTCAACCTGACTAATCTGAAGTCCCCAAAACTCCCATCATGTCACCAACCTTTACAGTTCACTGGGGGTGTGAAATGACGGGACAGCAAAGGCATGACGGTTCCATCAGTATCCATAGCCTCTAGGTTTCTGAACCCCACAGACCTCTAGAGGTGCGAATATCTACTGCTACATGACTGCAACAACAGGAAACTGCCCTAGTCAAGTCTCTACCTTACGTACAGGGACTGTGTTTTAAGACTGGTGAGAAAGAAAACCATCAGGTAGAGGTAGGAAGGAAGCGGGAAGGTGTATCAGATGAATCCAGAGAAGCAGTAACAGCTCATCACAAGGAGTTAACAAGAGTCTTGATGCCCTAGGCCTTGTGCCACACTCTTCATGTGGATTATCTTAGTTAATCCTTACAACAGTGCAGTAAATACAGATTAGCAGCCTTACCTTATGGGCAGGCAAAACAGTAAGGAACGTGCACAGGGTCACACAGCTACTAGACAGAATTTGAACCCTGCTGTGTGAATCTAGAGACCATGCAGGCAGCTGCTGTGGTAAGAGGAGGAGGTGGCCAGGTGGCAAACCCAGTGGTACGAGGCACTTGCTCACTCGCACCAGCCAAGGTTTGCCTTCCTACCTTCAAGGTCTTGGTACCCATGGTGACTCCTGTCTGCAACATGCCATCAGCAATGCCCAGTTGGTCCATGTTCAGGAGAAAAGGAGTCACCAGCGTCACATAGGTGGCTCCTGACCACTTCTTGAGAAAATTTAGAGCCCATGTTTCAGTAGATCCGCCAACATTATCAAGGATAAAGTCAAACCTGGAGGGGAAGAATCAAATAAAAATAGTCTGCCAGTCTCTACCTGGACACAGATCTTTCACTTGGTTGTCAAGGTGTATTCAATGACAGCGCATGCACCACGTGGCACTGTGTCATCCCAAGGGGTGGCTGAGAGGGGAGAAGGCACAGCCACTCCCTTCCACTTATACCTTTTGTCCCCAAAGCTAAAATGCAACTAATTTCTTATTACTAGTTTTCTTATATCTTATACCTTAAGAAAGATGTAAGCAAGTGGTTCTGAATTGGGGTGATTTGAGTTAAAATGAAGAGAACAGATTCTCACACCAAAAAAGTATACAGCTAAATCTATAAGTCACTGGTAGACTTCAGGCTGTCCAGGTCGAGGAACCCGACATCAACCATAGACAACTACAAATCTGTCCTTTCAGTAGCATCGATGGCTTCTCAGTACCCATGACTACTCAAAAGGAAGATATACAGAGTGTCTGTAAGGCTGACTTGCCTTTATCCCCTCTACAATCAGAAATGCATCCTCTTTACCTTCCGGAATTTCTTTTTGTGTGTTTTATGTATAACATCAGGATAATGCATGAAAAAAAAACAACACCCTCCTCTTAGCCTCCACTGCTACCCTGACCTGCCCCTGCCCCCAAACTGTCTAACAGAATCCACAGAACTGACAGATATTCAGATCTCTAATCTAACATAATAATGCTATAATCACTATACTGCACCCAAAGGGATAAAAACTCACAAAAGCTTTTCATTACTTTTAAAAACAATATTCTTTTAGAAAATGCATGTGTATAAATTAAGTAAATCAACTGGTAAATTCTTCCTGGGTTAAGTTTCCCTCTTCCAAATTCATCTGGAGGAAGTCAAAGCTTTTAAGATAGTTTTGGCCAGCTTCAAGGATACAGAGTCTTTTATGGGATTAAGCTAAAGAGAGAAAAAAGTAAACGCTACAAAAGGCAGGAGAGTGACCTTCCTAAAGGATCACACTTCTCATTAGTAAAGTTTCTACTGTATTCCCAAAGCATTACTAACAAATATGAGGCTATTTAATTTGTGGAAAACTTAAAACTGCTATTACTTACTGGGCACCATGTGAGAAAAATCTGGGACAACCCGTAGGCTGAATTATTCCAGGAACGATTAGTGACCTTGAGCTAACACCCAAAAGCCCTTGCCTCTGCCTTCTCAACCATGATGTGATAGCACTAAAAAGAATTTAACTCTCTCGTGCTGAAATCTCTATAACATCAAGAAAACTGCAACTTGGAATAAGTCACAAATTTTCTATAGGCAAATTCAGAGTTCAACCTTTGGGCAGAGGTTATAATTACAATGATCAACTTCAACTAAACTGTTGTGGTTTGAATGAGAATGGCCCCCAAATACTTGTATATTTGAATGACTGGTTCGTAGTTGGTGGAACCTGTTTGGGGTGTGGCCTTGTTAGAGGACATGTATCACTGGGATCAGCTTTGAGGTTTAAAAAGCCCATGTCATTCTCAGTTAGTGGACACAATCAATCCCTCTCTCTCTCTCTCTCTCTCTCTCTCTCTCTCTCTCTCTCTCTGTGTGTGTGTGTGTGTGTGTGTGTGTGTGTGTGTGTGTGTGCGTGCTGTTGTTGTGTTGTCTCAACATGCAAGCCCTCAGCTACTGCTCCAGTGCCATACCTACCTGCCTGCTGCCATGTTTCCACCATGATGGTTAGGAGCTCACCCTCTAAAACTGTAAGCAAGCCCTCAGTGAAATGCTTTCTTTTAAAAGTTGCCTTGGTCATGGTGTCTCTTTACAGCAATAGAAAAGCAAGACACTATTGAAGGAAGAGGAAGAGAGGAGAAAGGGAGGGCGGAAAAGAAGGAAAGCCCCCTACTGGAAGAGTACAATCAAGAAGGCAAGAGCACTTGCCAAAGAAGCTGAGGGACTGTCACATTGCTATGAGAGGACAGACTAAATGTCTTTCAGTCTTCCAGCTGTCAGGTTCTCCTTTGTAAACAACTTACAGACATGTATACTACTAAAGGGTCAGTAGAGGAGAATGGGTTGGCAATGACCTTTGTGTAAGCCCAGAAAGTGGCCAGGTCCTGCCCCCAAGGACCTCCAACCACCAGGCTTTGCCCACAGAACACTACCAGCTATAATGGCCAGACCCAGCCCCTCCAGATGCAGGTGGCTAAGCTACACCATACAAAGTAAAAAGCCCAACCTTAGAACTTGAAATCCCACCAATCCCCACTCTGGAAAGCTCCACCACTACCCCAAGAAACCCTACATAAAGCCTATCTTCTTCTCTCTGCTTCTGCTCCCTATAAATCTCTTATGTGCAGTTTGCTGTGTGGTGTGTTTGTGGTACTCTTTGGCTCTTGACTGCCAGGGTAACTTTCCCCTCAGAGCTGTAACACTTCAGGGAGGAGGGAGCCTCAATTGAGAAAATGCCTCCATAAGATCCAACTGTAAGGCATTTTCTTAATTAGTGATTGATGTGAAGGCCCACTGTTGGTTGGGGTCACCCCTGGACTGGTGGTCCTGGGTTCTATTAAAAAAAAAAAAAGGACAAGCCATGAAGACAACAAGCCAGCAGCAGCAGCCCTTTAAGGCCTCTGCATCAGCTCCTGCCTCTGCATCAGCTCCTGCCTCCAGGCTCCTGCCTCCAGGCTCCTGCCGTTAGAGTTCTTGTCCAGACTTAATTCCATGATGAACAGTGATGCGGAAGTAGAAGCCAAATAAACCCTTTCCTCCCCAAGTTGCTTTTGATCATGGTGTGTCATCACAATAAGTTACCCCAACTAAGACAGAAATTAGTACCAGGGGTGTTGCTGTGACAGACCTCACCATGTTGTTCTGGAGAGGGTTTTGGAAGGACTTTGGACTTTGGGTGAGAAAAGCCATTGAGCGTTGAGAGCCTGGTAAGCTGTTCTGTGCCAGCTTGGAAGAAAATTTTGAGAGCAGTGCAGACCATGGGGGCCTGGCTTGTGGAGTTCTAAAGAGAAGTTTGAGAGTCCCTTAAAGACTCTCTATCAAATCCATTTGTTTTAAATTGAGAACCCATGGTTCTGGTTAGCTGAAGAATGAGTTGTGATTAACAAGAGACCAAAAACACTAAAGTAAAACCTTTCTATTACTGGGACAATGGATGCTTGTCAGCTGGAGCTAGGAAGTTAGCAGTGATTAAGAAGAGACCAGTGTCACTGAGATGAGTTCTTCTGGGAAGTGTTTCCTGAGAGTCATTGCACAGAAGCTGTGTTCCAGAGGTGGCCAAGCTTGTATCTCACATTGACAGCTGAACTTGGGAATGTGTAAGAGTCACCCAGGTGGTACCGGTTTGGAAAGTATGACGGGGTCATGGAGAGTAGCCGATGCTTAGCACATTGAGAGGCCAGGAGAGACCACTGGTGAAGATGCAGCCTCAGGGACAGCTGAAGGCCCAGGACTGAAGGCATCATGCAGAGAAGCTGAGGCTTGGCACCATGAAGAGAGCTCAGGAGAAGCTAATGGAGACCCCAGCATTTTAGAGATGCCAGCACCATGTGATGACCACCGAGAACAGCGGCAGTGGGGAGTGGAGCCTGCCCCAGCTAGAAGACAAGGGTGTGTGCTGCAGAGGGTGAAGCCAGGGAAGTGACCTCAGCCCCTTGAAGGAGTCCAGAAGACTGTGAGTAAGTTCCAGATATCGGACATTGTGTTATTTATACTGTTGGAGTTTGGTTTTGCTTTGTTTAGATTGTTAATGTGCCATGATTCTTCCCTCTTGAAGTAAGAAAGTATACTTTGTTTATGTTTGATTTGAGATTTTTAAACTTGAGAGATTTTGGACTTTTAACAGATTTTAGATTTTAAAAAGATTAAATGTTTTTAAAGAGACAACTTTTGAAGTATTTGAATTTGGAAGGCTCTGGGGCTTTTTAATAAAGTTTGTAAAACATTTTATAATACCTTTATTAACATGTGATCTTCAGTACAAATAAAAAAGGAAAGGTTGTGCATTAACAGTACTGTGTTTATCAAGCTGACAAGGGTCAGTTGTGCTGGCTAGTTTTATGTTAACTTGACCCAAGTTAGAGTAATCAGAGAGCAGAAAGGCATAACTGAGGAAATGCCTCCACAAGATCTGACTGCAGGCAAACCAGTAGGCACTTTCTTAAGAGGTGATTGATGGGGGAGGGCAGCTCACTGTGACTGGTGCCACCCCTGGGCTGGTGGTTCTGGCTTTTCTAAGAAAGCAGGCTGAGCAAGCCATGAGGATTAAGCCAGTAAATCGCACCCCTTCATGGCCTCTGTGTCTCCAGTTCCTGCCCTGTTTGAGATCCTGTTCTGACTTCCTCTGACGAAGAACAGTGACATGGTAGCTTAAGCCAAATACATCCTTTGCTCCCCAAGTTGCTTCAGACATGGAGTTTCATCACAGCATAGAGTCCTGACTGGACAAGCACTAGGCACTAATCCATAAGTGGAACGTAGGCTCTGTAAAGGAGGAATGTGTCTGGTTCACCAGCATCTGGTGTCTACAAACGTCCTGATGAGAGTGAAGCGCCCTGAAGGACAGAATACACAGACTCTGGCTGGCTGCTCCTGGGAGCACTGCAGAGAAGAGGACCTTGTGTTTTCATCCTTCAATATTACACATCTAGTCAGTGTGGCCAAGAAAAACTGGCTTCTGAAAATGGATTTTAAAAAAGAAAGAAAAACCTTTGAAATTGTGGGCAAATACTTGTGAGCTGCACTTTCAGCTTCAGTTCTGCCTTAGCTAATGGAGATCAAATTAACAGGCCACAGGCAAGAGCAACAGGGCCTGAGAGAACCCCCAGTCAGTCTTATCTGGTATCTTAGGCCAAACCACAGGCTGGCTTTCAGGCATTCTGCATACCCTGATCCCTGCCAGCAGTGTTTTCTTATGCCCTTAATGGAGCCAAAACATTGAAATGTGTTTAGGAGTAATCATGTGGTTTTGTGCCCTCCTCTCTATTCTTCCTGGGATGATGCCACAGAAGGAATCACATCCTAATCTTGTAGCCTTAAAATCATCAGACCATGTATAAAAATAACTTCCAAAGTACATACCATTTGGAAATGGATCCAAATGACAAGGAATGCTTTTAGAGTCTTTCAGAAGATTCCAGCCTGACTGTGAAGCCACCACACCGGTGACCTCAGACCTGCACACTCAACTGTACCTGTGCCGTCCTCCCAACAGCAGCTTTGCTCTACTACTTACAGTTTTAAAGATTTCAACTGCTCTTCCACGCTTCCCAGTGTGTAATCAACGACCTCGTCTGCTCCGAGCCTCCTTACAAGTTCACTGGCATCTTGAGAACAAACTGCTGTCACATGAGCACCCCATGCTTTCATTATCTGCCACAGGAGAGAGGTACGAGGGGAAAGTAAAAAAAAAAAAAAAAAAAGTACATTTTTTTTAATAGAAAACGTTGGCACCAGGTGTACACATATCATAGTAATCTCTAGAACTTCTACATCCTCGGTCAGCAAGAACTGCAAAAGGCCACCTATCAGACCCGGTTACAACGGTCAGGAAAATCCCACCAGCTCTCATCTTCCATAGGCAAAGCCACATTTCTGTCTTGAGTGTATGCAGTGCCCCACCAGGATCAGAAAAACCAGGAGAGCCACAGCCTCAAGTGTAGGAGCTTCAATGACAGAGGGCAAATGGCAGAGAAAACAGAGAAACAAACATCACACACCCTCAGGACGGGAACATAGGACAAAGCACCCAGAACAAAACAATGCAGCACCTCCTCATTTGCATCTCCAGAATGTCTTCAATCAGTGCTTCAGAGTTACTTAGACCATGGGCAGATCGGCAAAGTGCCTGCTGGGGAAGCACTAGGACCTAGGTTCAGATCCCAGCAGTGTGTAAAGGTCAGGCATGGCAGTACATGCCTACAGTCCCAGCACCGGGGAGGCAGAGACAGCAGGGTCCCTGGAGCCAAATCAGTGAGCACAGCTTCAAGTGATGGAGAGAATAGAAGAAGCAGTGTCACTCTCTGGGCTCCACATGCACACACACAAAAGCACATCTAGAAACATGTATAGTGGTCAGCTATCAGATGAAAGGTTACTAGGGAAATATGAACATTTTAGTTTTAGAACATGAATTGGTTCCTCTCCTTTGGAGTACGAAGGCCCAGATAAATGGTCTCTTGTCTTTAAAACCCAAGTACAGACTTAATACAAGAGGGCATAATTCTAATGTCACTCACGTTTATGTATCTGAAATCACCCTCCAAACCCAATATACTTTTCTATACTGTCAATTTCATAAAGTTAACAGGGACTATTGCCAGTCTAGCATCAGGCAAGACACTTCAGATTTATCAGAAATTTGGTATGAATGTCAATATACAATCCTAGCCCTTTGGGATACAGAGCCAAGGATCAGAAACTCAAGGTCATTCTCAACCATAGAGAGTGTTTAAGGTCAGCCTATGATGTACCGGACTCTATCTCAAAACAAAAACATAAGTATTTCCCAAGGATTCATATAACCTGAAAATCTGAGAAAACTGAACCACTGAGAAAGGGTAACATATATAGTTTATTATGTTTGTGGGCCATAGACAGGGACTCTGGCGTAAAGGAATATATTGCTTTTAACAGCAAGTCCTGAGTTAAAGTCCCAGGGTGAAGTCTAAGATGACCATCTTGTCCCCAAAATATATGCATAGCATTGTGGAGGAAAGGAAATAACGTGCTAGAGACCTGCATCTATTCCATGCTTTTCCTTAAAGATTTCTATTCATTTTATGCATATTGAACCCCAAAGCTAGAGTAGCAGACAGTTGTGAGCTGCCATAAGGGTGCAAGGAACCAAACCCCAGTCTCTGAAGAGAAACCAGTGCTCCTAGTCACTGAGCCAGCCCTCCAGCTGCTGACCACTGAGCCACTCCTCCAGCTCCTGACCACTGAGCCAGCCCCTCCCGCTCCTGACCACTGAGCCATCCCTCCCGCTCCTGACCACTGAGCCATCCCTCCAGCTCCTGACCACTGAGCCAGCCCCTCCCGCTGCTGACCACTGAGCCAGCCCTCCAGCTCCTGACCACTGAGCCAGCCCTCCAGCTGCTGACCACTGAGCCAGCCCCTCCCGCTGCTGACCACTGAGCCATCCCTCCCGCTGCTGACCACTGAGCCAGCCCTCCAGCTCCTGACCACTGAGCCAGCCCTCCAGCTGCTGACCACTGAGCCGTCCCCCCAGCTCCTGGCCACTGAGCCAGCCCTCCAGCTCCTGACCACTGAGCCAGCCCTCCAGCCCTATGTTTTATTTAAACAGCATTAAGTCCTCAGCACTTCCCCGCTGTGATGAACTGTGGACCAAAACACTTCCTGTCCTCTCAAAGTATTCTTTTCACATATTTTGCCACAGCTACAAGAAAAGTAACCAAGACACATGGGTTGCTTTTTTTTAATCTCCTTGATGGTGCTCATTGATGTATCAAGATTTTTTTAACTTGATAAAGCTCAACTTACTTGCTTTGCTTATGCTTTTAGTGTCACATCTAAGGATCTGCTGCCAAATCTCAGGAGATGAATATTTATAGCTGGTCTCTTCTAAGAGTTTTATGGTTGGTGCTCTTACATTGAACTCTCTGATCCACCTTGAATTATTTCTGTGTATCATGTAAGGTAAAGATCCAGTTCCCTTCTTTTTAGGTGAGCATCCAGTTGTCTCATCGTCTGTTGAAAGGACATTTTCCCCTCACTTAACCATCCTGCCATCCTTGTTAAAAATGAATGATGGGGCCGGAGCAATGGTTCAGCTAAGAGCACTGGCTGCTCTCCCACAGGACCCTACATCAGTTACCAGTTCATAACGCCTATAACTCTAACTTCAGGAGATCCGACACCCTCTTCTGACCTCTCTGGGTATCTGCACACACGTGGCATATACCTGCACAAATACTCACAGACATATAAAAAACAAAACTGACCACGCATGGATAGGTTTCTCTCTGGATAGTTAATTTTTTCCATTGTAGTCTTGTTGTGCTTTCTCCCTCCCTCCCTCCTTCTTTTGGAAATGCTGTTTACTGCTAAACCGCAAACTTTTATCTACATCCACCATCATGGTCTTCCTCCCAGAGGGTTTGGCTCCACAAACTCAACTTTTCCATGCTAAACAAATGGAAAGGGTTAATGTTTCCTTTTTATATTAGAACCATGTTCATTTGGGTCACTGAAATTAAAAGGTCTTTATTAGATGCCCTACTTTTCTGTTACTTTGTTAAAACACTGACCAAAACCAATTTGGGGATTAAAGTACTTCAGCTTACAGACTATGTCCAAGGAAGTCAGGGCAGGAACTCAAGACAGGAGCTGATGCAGAGGCCATGGAGGGGAGCTGCTCAAGGGCTTGTTCTCCGTGGCTTGCTCAGCCTGCTTTCCTATACAACCCAGGACCACCTTCCCAGGGATGGCATTGCCACAGTGGGATGGGCCCTCCCACATCAAACATTGATCAAGAAGATGCCCCACAGACATGCTTACAAGTAAGGCAATTTGATGGAGGCGATTCCTAAATCGAAGCTTTTTTTCTCAGGTAACTATAGCTGGTTTCATTCAAGCTGACAAAATTAACCATACACTGGACCCAATTTTGAATGAAAACTAATTTATAATATACAAATTATAAATTCATAGAAACTAAAATCTTCCTGGTCAAAAGATTAAAAAAGTCTTTTACCTGTATCGCAAAAGTACCAACTCCACCTGATGCACCCAAGATTAAAGCGCTGCAATAGAAAAGGAAAGAGAACCTGTGAGAATCTTGGGCAGACATACCTGATGAGAACTTTTACAGAGGAACTGCCCAGTGACAAACAATCCCCAAGGCAAATAGTTATTCACCATCCCAAGACTGAATCACACAGATTTCAGCAAGAAGCTGCAAATACTTAAAATGAGACATTTTCCAAACCGTTCACTGAAAACACAAAGCATTAGCACACTAACAGTTCATCTAGCTGGTCGTCTGGGTGGTGCTTTCTAACTCTGCTGTTTCTCCTGCTAAAGTCACTACCCTTCCCCTGGAAGGAGGGAACTTGAGGTGTTCGGTAATGCAGCTCGCAGAAAGTCACATTCCTGACCGCATTCCCGCTAAGGTGTAAGAAGCAATTGTGTTCAGGCATGTCCTGCTAAACTGTCACAGAAGGGACTCGCATCCGCAGTGTGACTTCCTGTGGAAGCGGACACCTGTGTCCTGCCAGCACAAGCACCCAAACCCGGGCTCTTACCACACCTACTCAGGGTCCTCCTGCCACTTGGGACAGGGACCAGGCCTAGAGAGTGGAGTAGAGGGGAAGAAAGGGTGCAAGAGAGCCTGAGCCTCTAAACACAATACAAGGCCAAGTGTGCACAGGAACAGACCGACCATCCATTCCCTAAGAAGTCTGTGATCTGAAAGAGAATCAGTGGTCAAAACGCATCAGGCAGGCAAGGCGTGTCAGTGAGTAAAGCTGCTTGGTGGGAAAACCTGACCACCGGAGTTCAATCAACTGGCACCCACAGGGGAAGGGAAGAACAGATTCAAGTAGTCCTCTGACTCCATACATGTGCTATGGTGCATGTATGAACACACAGAGATACACACACACATACACACACACAGAATTTTAAAAATTTTTGAAAGAATCACCGCTTTGCATACTTTTACATACTTTTATTCTGGAATTAATTGCCTTCCTGGACTGCACGGTTTCAAATACCTCGAAAAGTGTACTGAACGGCAGTTTGGTGCTCTGTTACCAACAGAGGTGGAGGGGCATTGCACGTTTGTCTGCTCTCTGGCGCTATGTTAACTACTATGGGAGACTGTTCCATGAAAATGTTCTGAGTGCACACAGAGAAACAGCCTTCTGAGACTAAGTGCTGGGAGTGCCGCTGCTTGTCTGCCACTCTCATTACGGAACTGCTACTTATGGCCCTTGTCTTCGCTACCAGACAGTGTAGAATTTCACCACCTACTGCTAACTGGTGCACTGAACCTCAGAGCACACACTGTCTATAATCTTAACCCTGGTTTCATTTTTCCTGTCCCTTACTCAAATCACAGAGGCTGATTATTATCCTCTGTTAAATGTTAAAAGTTATTACTATAATTTCCAAGCCAGCTGCTCCTTTTGAAACACCATTAAATATAATTAAAAGAAGTCTCCTTGCAAATCATGCTCCTCTACAGGAGTTTTCATCTCACCACACTATCAATAGTGAAGAAAAGAAGAAACTCTGGAGCTTCTCACTCCTCCAAACTTCAATCTCACGATTCAAAGCCTTAGGAGCTCCTAAGTGGGAGAGGGGGTGGCACTCCTAGAACCCAGCACTCCGAGAGGTTGAGGCAGGTAAACCACAAGCCCAAGGTCAGCCTGGGCAGCCCAGAGAGACCCTGTCTCAAACCAAACTATGTAAACAAAGCAAACCTGTCACACAGATCATCTACCAATTAATTCACTCACAAAATATTTACCCTGACTTTCTGCTCATTATCTAAATTAGTGAAATTCTCCTTCAAGAAACTTCAAGTTTCTCTTTTACTCTATATTAAGACAGGGAAAAGAACAGGTCTGAGGCCTGGTAGTTTTTGAGTCAGGCGGCTATTTGTCTAAGAAAATGCCTTTTTGGTCGCCTAAGGATACCTTCCTAGGGAAGCTGCAGGCCAGCGGTCATTATTCTTAGGACACCGTGGCGTTACCCTGTGCCTGGTGGCTTGTCTGCCTTTAGTTTTCTTTTGAATAAGGGGATGGGGACAAAGAGAGTTCGTACATGGGGGTAGAGACACTCTGGGCACATGACAGGCTTACAGCCTCTTGTCTCTGTTCAGTGCGGCACCTACTTCTGCTCTGCAGGCACTGAGGGACAGACCTCCTATCACACCCCGCGCTGGCCTGGTCGGGGTTGACTCCAGCTCACCCCACCACTGTATCTTAAGCACTGCAGTAGCTACTGCCACCGGAAGACAGGGGTTCATTTCTAGGGGGCTGGAGACATGGCTGCTCTTCCAGAGGACTGGGGTTCAAATTCTAGCATCTACATGGCAGTTCACAACCGTCTGCAACTCCAGTTCCAGGGGGTCTGACACCTTCACACAGACATACATGCAGGCAAAATTCCAATGCATGTAAAAGAAAAATAATCATTAAAAAAAATTAAAGACTTCTAGTTTCTACCTGAGAAGATTAAAAGGATACCAAATATAATGGCTGCCTGAGGACTCAACTGTCAGACACATCTCTGATTCCTTCCTGTCATCTTGTCTCTTCCCCATAACCCTTAATCCAAAGCAGCTTCACTTCCTAAATAAGAGCAAAATTATCTCACAAAAGTAGGGCTTGAGAACCAAGTTAATCAACTAGTGTCAGTTACCAATGCTGCCACCTGAGGGCGCCCTCAAAGAGCAAAAGGCCAAGGAGCAGGCTCAAGAAGTGCTGGAGACAGTTGGGACACACAATTTTCTAGCTGTGCAAACTTTAGTTTTGCATAGGGTCAAGCAGGGTCTATCCTTTTTCAAATAAAGTAAATATACAAAAAGCACAGCAGGAAAAATGAATTCTAAAGCCAGCAATAAGCTGAGTGTTCCTGTGGCTAACCAACCTCTGTAGTCTGTAAAGTATCTCTGAGCCTAAGGCAGTGTGGCAGCCGCCTCCCTCACAACAGCCCCCAGGTGATGTTCCCGGAGCATTTCCTGACCTTGTTTGCTGTGATGGTCACACTACACATCAAATCCAACCAAAGCTGAAACCTGCTGTTTGTTGGTTTATGTCAGTGCTTCTCAAACCTCCTAACGCTGCAACCTCTAACACAGTTGATGTTGTGGGGACCCCAAAATATAAAATTATTTTCATTGCTATTTCATAACTAATTTTGCTACTGTAATGGCATGTGATGTAAGTATTTTTGGAGATAGAGGTTTCTCAAAGGGGTAGCGTGACCCGTAGGTTGAGAACCACTGGTTTATGTAGAAATAGCCTATGAAATATTACACTTCCAAGAGTACTTTAATTCAAAATTGTCCAGGCTTTTAGCACATGCCACTCACTTCCTAGTCCACACAGCTTACTCTGAAGATTCTGAGGACTGTACTAGTCACAGATCTAGAAAACATGGGAAAGTCGGAATAATTATTAGAATGCTATGCATTCTTCTTTGTTGTTGAGACAGGGTACTAGGTAGCCCAGGTTGGCCTCACACTGGCTGAGCAGCTGAGGGTGGCCTTGAACTCCAGATCCTCCTATCTCATCCTCCAGAGTGTTGGGATTACAGGCATGTGCCACCATAATTGCTTTCTTAATCTCTAAACTCTAACTTGCTGTCATTTCTGCCTAAGGTCTAAAGTCTCTCTAAGCAAGCATGAAGACACTAATGTCATGGTGCTTTCTCTGGAGACATGACTCAGCTGTTAATACTCGCTGCTCTTCCAGAGGACCTGAGTTCAGTTCCCAGCACCCATGCCAGTTGGCTTTCAACCACTCAGCTCCAGGGGTTCAGACTTCTGGACTCCACAGGTACCCTCACTCACGTGGTACACCCTCACACAGAAACAGACACACACAACCAAATCCAAACCATAGGGGAAGCAGATGGAGGGAGCAACCCTCAAGTTTCAGTTCTGTCTTGACCTACAGAAAGCTGGGCTGCAAATGCACAGATCTAAGCTCTGCCTCATTTTATTCTCAAAAGGAAACACGAAGGCTCAGATTCATGATGCAAAGGGGTGAGCAGAGGTGTAGTCTGGGATAGTGAAAATAACTGGTAATTCCAATGCAATTCCATCTTTTGCTTCTTTCTTTCCAATCCATATGTAACCGGCTTCTCTGACTCCCCATAAGATTAAGGATCCTCTATTAGATCCTAATGGCTAAGAAACAAAGTGTTGGAGGAGGCTGCTTGTTTGTCCTGGCCGCCCAGAACCAAAATAATCACACAGAAACTGTATTAATTAAATCACTGCTTGGTCCATTAGCTCTAGCTTCTTATTGGCTAACTCTTACATCTTAATTTAACCCATCTCCATTAATCTGTGTATGGCAACGTGGCTGTGGCTTACTGGCTAAAGTTCTGGTGTCTGTCTCCAGTGGGGGCTACATGACTTCTCTCTAACTCTGCCTTTATTTCTTCCAGCACTCAGTTTAGTTTTCCCCACCTACCTCTACTCCACCTTATCAGGCCAAGCCAGTTTTTATTGACCAATCTTATTCACCGCATACAGAGCGGAATCCCACATACAAAAATGATATTAAATCTGACTACATTTTCTACAGGTAAAAACAACAAGCTTTATGAACCACACTTCAGTTTCACGGGGTACATTTAAATGTGGGAGTGGGGAGACAGGTGAAACTGCAGCCGAATTACCCTAGCACAATGCACTCCCTACTTAATAGTCTCCGTCTCCTGCTAGAGTAAATGAGAAACTTTGAATGAGAGATACTACAGTTATAAAACAAACTAAGCAAATGTGACCAACACAGCCTGGATTTGTTTTCTTCTCTTCTACGTCTCTGTAGTTCAAACTGACATTTCCTAATTTACAGGACAGTTCATGTTGAATTAGACATTTGAAATGTAAATATATTTTCCCATGAAAACAAAGCTATTTGTATACATTGTGGAAATGTCCGCGGTAACTGTTTCTAACCAATAACGAATGAAGTACTTCAGACACAGGCTAACAATACTTCTATTGCCTATGATTATTTAGAATTTTGCCTAAACCTTGGATGGATCTTTTAAGTGGGACAGGCCCTGGGAAGAGGCTTGAATCACTAGCTCCTTGAGTCATACACAGAAACAGACTGAAGGAAGGGAAGCTGACGGACACGACGATGAGGAGTGTGTTCAAAGCGGGCTGCCACAGTCGAAGCCCCAGCCCTTTACTCACACAGGAGCCTGGCGGCAGAACTGCACAGGCATGTAGCTTTTGTACAATGCAATAAAACTAACACATGCCAATCCCAATCAGTTAGGATGGAGATCTCTTCCCACAACTCCACTTCCTCCTTCGTGATCACCATTCCCACCACCCCCACCTGAATACTAGATTCCAGTGGGAAGCTGACTTGGACCCAGTGCTCTCCCCATCACGGTTTCACATCTGAGGTTCTAGTTACCCTCCCAACTGTGGCCCCAAAGTAGAAAATTCAAAATTATAGAAATAAGTAATTCCCAAAGTTTTAAATAACTTTTACTAGAGCATACTGATAGACTTGTTCTATTTTAATCTGTGGATTCAGAATCCATTGGAGAATTTATGTCTTCATGGATAAGAGGAACTGTTATACATTTGCTTTGGATTTAATGGAAAACACTGTATGTGGTTCCTAGTCATTTCTGCATAGAAGTAAGTTCTTGCTAGCTGCTCTGGTTTAATAACACCTTCCAAGCCAGGAATAATAGGGAATAGGCCTGCAAACCCAACGCACATGAAAAGCCCTGGTGTCAATTACTGAGGCTCTTCAATGCATTTCATTCTAGCTAGTTCTCAGAGGGCTACATCAATTAACAAATCCAATCTAATATCACATTTAATGGCTTGGGGATAGCGAGATGGATCACTGGGTTAAGGCACTTGCCACTGAGTTTGTTACCCAGAACCCATGGGGTAGAGAAAACTAATTTCCACCTCCATATACATGTGGTATGCACATACTCTTGCACAAAAAGTAAATTAAATAAATGTAATTTAAATTCTGCTTAAATTTTAAAAATATATAATGACCTTAAATTTATTTATCTCACTTCTCAAAGTTCTTCTCACAACTTGGGATCTTACATTCAGACATTCAGAGGGAACAGTAAAGAGACTACAAATAACATGTGGCCACTTGGTGGGCAACAGCAGAGAGTAGAACCCAGGGCTCCAATTCCTCAGTACCACGTTTTTTCAGGCAGTAACAGTAAACCCTGTAGTTACCCATAAGTCAACAGCACACTGGGCATTCATGGTGATCAATCTAAGGAAACACAGTTCAAGTTCTGTACCCACATTGTTTTTACAATACATGAAAACATACTCAGGGAGACCCAGACCTGAAGAACAAGGTCTGTAGCCATACCATGCACCAGCCACATAGGCACAGTGAGCCCAGGGTCTTTAGGGGACCAAAACAATAAAGCCTCCAATAAGGGTATAAAAATCTGGATGATCTCTGCAGGTTATTAAGGAAGGAAGTCTGTGGTCAAATCTATTCAACTTAAACTATGTTTGACCAAAATGGCAACTTCAATAAAGATAACACATGAAAGCTTAAAAAGCAAGTTTGGCCTTTAGAATAAATATTTGCCTTTAATTCTGAGATAAATGGCAGTACTCCATCAGACAGTCTTTGAAATGCTTTCAGAAACAAAGCCTAAACCTCTACAAATTCAATTCTCTATTACCCACACATTAAGTTTAAAATGTAATATTTTATAATAGGAAAGCAGAATGACATGGACTTTATTTGTAATAAGAAATAAAAGAACTGTGGGGCTGGTAAGATGGGTAGTGGATAAAGTCACCTACCACCAAGACTGACGGCCTGAGCTCCATTCCTAATCCCACATGATAGAAGGAGGGAACCAACGCCTGCAGTACGTCCTCTGATAATGCACGCCATCTCCACCACATACACACAAACATAATCATTTTAAAAGAACTGTGCTATTTGATTCTGGTATCTGCTGAGGAATAATCCTGCACACTGTGAAAATGCGTTACTCTCATTGTTAATAAATAAACTGATTGGCCAGTAGCCAGGCAGGAATTATAGGCAGAACAACCACACAAAGGATGCTGGGATGAAGAAGGCTGAGTCAGAGGAGTCACCAGGTGGAAAGACAAGTAGTACACACAAAATGGAACAGAAGTAAAAGCCACGTGGCAGAATGTAGATTAATAGAAATGGGTTAATTTAAATGTAAGAGCTAGTTAATAATAAGCCTGAGCTATAGGTCGAGCATTTGTAATTAGTATCAAGCCTCTGTGTGGTTATTTTGGAGGTAGTGGTCAGGGCAGGAAAACTCCACCTACAGGTATCACCTGCAACTCTCCCTTTCAGTCACCAACTAACTGGTTCAGAATACCTACTTTTCTACCAAAAAAATAAAAATAAAATAAAGAATTTCACTGTCAATTTTCTTTGTAAAAGAATGTTTCTTACATTTATTTATTTCTTGAGGGAGGAAAGTGTTCGCCTTTTACCACATGGGCCCCAGGGGTGAACTCAGGTTGTCAGGCTCAAGGGCAAGCACCTTTATCCACTGAGCCTTCATACCAGGCCCTATGTCAGCTTCCTAAACTACAAAGTACATTGTAATGTCCTTGTTAATATCAGAAGCCACCATTTATTGAGTGCCACAAGTTTTACATGCTTTATCTCATTTACTCTTCAAAACAAAACTCGGAGAAATCAATTGAACAGGTCCCTAGCTATGGATAGCAGAATCAGAACATACAGGAAAAGATGGCAGCCCTCCCCCCCAGTGTACTTCCGAGCCACTGTGGTTATCTGTACTACACACGCTTACAACACGCATAACTATGATCAAGTTTATAATAAAGAATTTGTAATTTATAAACAATCTAACAATATACTGTAACAGAAGTCACATGAATGTGAGGTTTCCCTTGTGCTTCTAAATATCTACTCTCCTGAGCTCGTCCTCTCTGATCATGGGAAACTACAGAGGGTGAACACAGATGATGAGGACAAATGAACTGAGACACTGCCACTGTACATTGCTGACCTAAACAAGCATATATCCCAGTCACTGGAGCACCAGAACTGCCCTCCAAGATGCACATGCTGAGCCCAAGAGAACTCAAGAGTATTCAACAGCATTCGTAGCCCCATTAAAATACACAAACCAGTGAGCAAGTCCTGGTTGGGAGAAAGCACAGCTCTCAGCTTGGCACATCCCTTACAGAATGCAGGAGGTTCGCACCCTTCCTAGAAGCCTCACAAAATCTGGCTCTTGTTAGAGGCTCACAGAAAAATTTTTGCCCCAGGGCTCAAGAGATGGCTCAGCTGTTAAGATCGCTTTGTGCTCTTGCAGAGGACACAGAGTCCTTTCAGCGCACACACTTGGTGGCTCACAACCACCTGTAACGCCAGTACCAGGAGATCTGATGCTTTCTTCTGGCCAAGGTACTGACGTGCATGTGGTGCACATAACCTCACATAGGCACCCAGGCACACACACACACGCATGCACACACGCACGCACAAACATGTACAGAAAAAAAGTTTAAATGCCCTAATATAGGAGACTCAAACTCCTAGATAGCTCAGCTATATGTCTTTTAAAATCCCCCATTTGATTCAGCTGACAATCCACAGACTGAGGCTTTAAAGTAAAATGTGACAAATGTTAGCATAACTGGTCACACAGCTAACGGTGATCTCAACACAAACAGATCTGCTGTGAAGGACTAGAAGAAAGAAAAGGGAGCTTCAGCTGTCACCATCACTTACCGTTTTCCCATGCAATTCTTGGCATTCAGGCCACCAACCTTGTTTATGGCAGACCAGGCTGTGAGAGCCACATACGGCAAAGAGGCAGCCTGAGTATGAGTGAGCGATTTGGGCTTGTGCGAGACCTGCAGTGAAAGATAACGGTGAAAACTAAGCAGGAGCTTACACGCCTATATACACAGCTAAGCGCTTACCATCACAGGAAAACAAGAATTTTCACAGAGAAAAACGGTAAAAACTAAGCAGGAACTCACACGCCTATGTACACAGCTAAGCGCTTACCATCGCAGGAAAACAGGAATTTTCACAGAGAAAAACGGTGAAAACTAAGCAGGAACTTACACGCCTATATACATAGCTAAGCGCTTACCATCACAGGAAAACAGGAATTTTCACAGAGAAATTTACAAACTACTCCTGGGTTCAGTGTTTACTGCACACCCTACTCCAAAGCTGGCCTGAGAATAGTCTCCAAACAGCTCTTTACCTCTATCAAGAGGCTCAGTGATGTTTTGCAGACTACATTATTAGATATACTACTTTACTGCCTATTTAAAAAAAGACCATATATAATAATCCCAAGTATTAGACATACTACTTGACTGTTTATTTAAAAAGAACATATATAATAATCGTGCTAGTCCTGACTATACTCAGAGATAAATTCAAATAAGCCTCAAACCCTGATAAACACATTTTAATTTGTTTTTGATACCAACTGCTTCCTTAATTCTGTTTCTAAAATGTAATGTTTCTAGAATTTTTTCTATCCTAATAATTCCCAATGCCCAGTAACTCCTAATTCCTCCTCCAGGCTCCCTCTGTTAATCCTTTTCTTCTATTAACTGTTAGGTCCCCTGACTATATTAGATACTTCCATGCCTCTCCCTTGGGTATAAATGGTTCATACTGGGTAGAGCAAAGAACACTGTAGGTTCTAAACCTCAGCCCAAGTCTCTGCTCTTCGGATATAGACAACTGCTCAGCAGGCAACGCTAATAAATAAACCGAATAGTTTTAACTCTTTCAAAGTCTCCTGGTCTTCATTTTAGCTCTCTCAACATTGCCTGTAAAACACGAAAGTAATCTGAAGACATCACTAACTTTCCAGACGCCTACCAGTCTTCCTTACAGTTAAGCATTTCAGCAGAGGCGGCGCGGGAGTTACCTCATTCCCACTGACCACGACAAATTCTGACAAAGTGCCTTGTTTCCAAGGAGGAACTGCAGCCCAGACCTGAAATGCAGATGTGCAGCTTTATTAGAACAGCCATGTCTGACCACGCTAAGCATGAAGGTATCCCCTAAGACAGGGCTACCCAGAGCGGGAGGGGGGGGGGGGGCTCCAGTGCAAAAAGCTAAGTTTCACAAGACACCAATTCATTGCTGAGTATGATTCTGGATTTATCAACTCAGACCACACTGGACATACAAACTAATATACCTGACGCATTCTGCTAGACTCTGCCGGAGAACTACGACTTACTAGCCGTGGCTTTTTTTTATTTACTTATATGTATTTTTGAGACAGGATCTCATCAGATAGCACAGGATGACCTCAAACTTTTAATCTTCTCATCTCTGTTGTGTGATATTCACAGTGTTCTGACAAATAAAGCTTGTTTGGAGTCAAAGTGGGGAGCCGTCACTAGCTGACCATAGCGGTTTGGAGGACTGTAGAGAGAGGAGACAGGAAGTGATAAGGTGGGGCTGAGACAGGATCTGGGTCTTTTGGACAGATTTGAACGCAAGAGATAGGAAGCAACTGGCAGCTGCTCCTGGCTCTCTGATCATTCAGGGTTTATCCAAATATTTGACTCTCAATTTTTTTTATTGATAAAGATTAATTATCACTTCACATCTCAGACTCCTTAGTGCTGGGATTACAGGAAAACCACACTATTCCCAGTTGCCTGTGCACCACTTTATAGCTGGGCTTCCTCAACTGCAAACTGGCTGGTTGTACTGACTAACAGGGATTATCTTCTCTGTGAAAAGAAACCAGAACATGCTATTATTATGAGTCCACTACTAACTCTTGGCATAAACATCCAAAGTGACAAGTGATAGCTTATATCAAACTTTAGCTATTTCAAAACCAGCTAACCAATAAGGGACAAACTGTCATTTAAAGACTCAAGCAAAATGAATCCTCCTAATCCTTTGATGTAGGATTCCCCTCTGTATGCTCTGAATATGTTTTATTACCATTGGTTAATAAAGAAGCTCCTTTGGCCTATAGCAGGGCATAATATAGGCAGGCAGGAAAACTAAATTGAATGTAGGGAGAAGAAGGTAGAGTCAGGCAGATGCCAGGCAGCTGAGGAAGGAGAAAGATGCCAGTACCTTACCGGTAAACCATGAGCCTCTTGTTAAAATATAAAATAATAGAAATGGGTTAATTTAAGATATAAAAGCTAGCTAGGAATACACCTGGGCCAGTGTGGCAATTAATATGGTTTTTCTGTGTGATTATTTGGGTCTGGGTGGCCGGGAATGAGAGTGCAGACTCTGTTTACAATCCTACGTGTTTTTAAAGTCTTACAATTCTTAAGAATTTAGAAATTTAGAAAATTCAAGTATAAGCTGAGCATGTGGCTCATGTCTGTAATATTAACACTAAGGAGGCCAAAGTATTACAAGTTCAAGATAAGCCCGAGCTATATAGTGTGTTCCAAGCAGCAAGACCCTGTCTCACAAAAAAGAAAAAGAAAAACAACCAAACCAAGAAACAGGTGCCCTGCCCAAGGCACATACGGAAAAGACAAATGGTCTTGCAGTCTATTTCCAAAGAAAGGAAGTAGGATAGCCTGGAAACACACACCTGCAATCTCAATTCTTGGGAGGTGGAGAAGGATTAGAAGCACAAAGTCATCCTCAGCTACAAACTAAATCCGAGACCCAGCTATACGCAATCTAAAATAATTTTGAAAGAATAACCAGTAAGAGAGCTGGGCAGGGTGGCATGTGCCAGTAAGCCTAGCATTTGGGAGGTCGACACAGCAGAATCACAGGTTCAAAAGCACCCTGTGGTGGTCTGAAGGAGAATGGTCCCCGCAGGCTCATATATTTGCATGCTTAGTCGCCAGTTGATGAACTGTTTGGGGAGGATTAGGAGGTGTGGCCTTGATGGAAAAGGTGTGTCACTGGGGATGGGCTTTAAGGGTTAAAATCCCATCTAGGCCCAGTGCCTCTTGGATCAGGATGTAAGCTTTCGGCTCCTTCCCCAGCTTGCCTACCTGTGTGCCACCATGATCCCACCGTGATAAGAGACCAACCCTCTACAACTATAAGCCAGCCCCAATTCAATGCTTCCTTTTATCAGAGTTGCCTTGGTCGTGGTGTCTCTTCACAGCAATAGAACAGTGACCAAGACACTTACAATGCATGTGTCTGAGTTACATGAAAACCAGATGAAAGCAGAAGGAGAGGGAGGCGAGACGATGAGGAGGAAGGATTAACTCACCTCATCTCCAGGCTGGAAATACTTTACGTCAAGCCCACACTCCATCACCACGCCAGACACATCCCGACCCAGAGTCAGAGGAAACTCTTCTCCTGTGGTTCTTATATGCAAAGGATCACGCTTCATATTTAAGGCCGTCGCTCCATAACCACCTACGAAACACAATGGACCTGCTTCTTAAAGGAAAAGGTCAGAGTGACTTTAAAATACTATAGCACACAGTCAGATCAATGTCATATGCTCAAACGGAGACTCTAACACAACCACACAGTTTTGCCACCACACAGTAAAGTGTAAAAACAACGGGGTGTTGTTCCTTTCAAAGAAAATTACTTAGAAAGCTGCAATCGCTAAAACCACAATTGCTCAAAGTCCTTTGAAACTCAAACTGCAAAACTGCCTTCTGGAGTTTTAGAATCCTCTTTTATATAATTGCTCTTTGAAGATGGTATCTCTATTAATTTACTCATTTGCAAACTTTTTAAGTATTTAGACAAGATTTGCTGTGTAGCCCAGGCTAGCCTTAAACTCCTAACCCCCCTCAGTCAAAATGCTGGGACTATAGAGATGTGTCCCCACACTTGAATGAATTTTTTACGAGCAAAGACATTTAGTACTATGTCTGGTAAAGAAGACAAACGTTCAGGCTGTTAAAGAATTCATGTATATTAAAGTGCCCGATACTAGCACTCAATTATGAGTTTAAGAGTCTCCATTTCCTAAAAAATCTACCTAGAATAATGATTTTGAGTAAGTGCAAAGAATTTTAGTGGAAAAGAGCCACTGAGCTACATTTGATGTGTCTGATCAGGCCAACTGCATTATACCTGTGGGGTAGGGTGCACTGGTTTGGGGTTTTTTTCTTTGTTTTCGAAACAGAGTCCCACTGTGTAGCCTTGGTTGACCTGGACCTGCTATGCAGACCAAGCTGGCCTCACAGAGATCCATTTGCTTCTGCCTCTCCAGTGACAGGACCAAAGAAAGATGTGTGGTACTACACAAGGCTCATACCATTTTCTTTTAAGGATATTTACACAGAAAACAGGTAAGTAAAGTTGAAACCATTCTTTTAGTCCAAATAAATTAACTGCTCTATCTGCAATAATAATCCAAAGTAATAAATGGGCCTAGATACTTCAGAAGAGTTCTGAAAGTCAAGGTCTTTAAAAATATTTAATGCCGGGGGCTGGAGAGATGGCTCAGTGGTTAAGAGCATTGCCTGCTCTTCCAAAGGTCCTGAGTTCAATTCCCGGCAACCACATGGTGGCTCACAACCATCTCTAAAGAGGTCTGATGCCCTCTTCTGGCCTGCAGACATGCACACAGACAGAATATTGTATACATAATAAATAAATAAATATTAAAAAAAAATATTTAATGCTAGCTGGGCGGTGGTGGCGCACGCCTTTAATCCCAGCACTCGGGAGGCAGAGGCAGGCGGATCTATGTGAGTTCGAGACCAGCCTGGTCTACAAGAGCTAGTTCCAGGACAGGCTCCAAAACCACAGAGAAACCCTGTCTCGAAAAAACCAAAAAAATAAAATAAAATAAAAAATAAAAAATATTTAATGCTGTTTTCCTATAAGATCAAAAGCAGATAAGAGACTCTAAATAAAACAGTGGCAGAAAAAGAAGTAATAATAATCACAAAGTTATATGCTGTGTGAATGATCCACTATAAAAGAAAAGAGAAATGCAGGAGAGGACAGATAACCCCAGTTAAGTGAGGGAGGATGTGATCAAGACCAGCGGAAGGTTGGCCTTAGGTGGGCAGTGACAATCTAGCGGCAAAGTGAAGAGTAGATAAGCAGAGATGCAGAGTCGTTTTTCTAAAGAAAAAAAAATCAAGGCACTTGGGAGGAAATGAAAGTTGGGATAGTCCCAGAAAAATATAAGCTGGTGGTCCCTACACCAACATTCCACATTTGCCATCTGGCCAGCTAGAACTGCACTCCACAGAAAATGCCCACAGTGCACATCACAAAGGGCATTTTTCCTGTCTTATATTTATTTCCCCTCTGCTAAAACATAAGCAGTTTACTCACTGAAACCCTTTGTGGCTTGAGAACATAAGTGTACATTTTGCCTTGGCACAATTTAGTTGTAAAGCTGCAAAACGGTTTCGGCCCTTTCTGAGGGCCCAAGCCAAAAGTTCAGATTCTTTTCAACCATTTTCTTAATAACCCTAATATGTTAATATGCCTAACCCTAATATACCAAGAGTAGCCAGGTCCAGCTAACCTCATCTTACCAGAATACAGCCAGCTTGTAGTAAGAAATGGAAACCGTTTGGGGACAAAATGGGGTTTAAGCTTGTCATCCCAGCTGCAGGTGGTAGCACACACACCTGGATCTGGAACACAAGCAGGAGGGGCAGTAGTTCAAGCTCTTCCTCAGACACACAGAGTCTGCAGCCAGCTCAGTCCAGCCCACAAGAGTCTCTTAAGAAAGACAAGAGTGCCTCTCACTAACACAGGCTTGGACTTGACCAGAGTTGGGCTAATTTAGAAAATCCCCAAGATGTCATCAATTTCAGTTCTTTTTATCCCATCTAAACAAATCAAACTTTGTTTTATTTGCCATTGGCTATACTACTTTAAAATTATTCATAAACCAGGCGGTGGTGACACACACCTTTAATATCAGCACTTAGGAGGCAGAGGCAGGCAGATCTCTGTGAGTTCGAGACCAGCCTGGTCTACAAGATCTAGTTCCAGGAAAAGCTTCAAAGCTACAGAGAAACCCTGTCTTGAAAAAGCCAATAAATAAATAAATAAGTCATTGCTTTAGCCATATCTATGATTTATAGTTTTATGTCAAACAGCAGTGGCCATTAAAAAAACAGCCTTTATCTGTCAAAATAGATGTGTGTCTTGTTTTCTTCTCAAGGGAAATAATTAATTTTCTAATCAAATATTACCTAAAGCCACCATATAACACTTTCTCAAAAAGCATCCATAGGCTGGGAGATAACTTGCAAATAGTATTACTCAGACAAATTATAAGATACTAGATCATCTCAAAAATACTCTATAAAAGTAAGATGTGCTATGTTATTATATGCAACAACAGCCTAGAAAGATCTGAACACAGCCATTCTATTGAAATGAAACTGTACACAACACACATTGTGTACTTATAAAACAAAACTGCCTTCAAGTCTAATGAAAAAATAAATTAAAAATTTAAAATGAAATAAAATATCATATCCAACTAGGAATCACAATTACTACATCAGCACAAAACTAGAGGGAGAGAGATATAACTCATCCCCCAGCACTGAAGAAAAAGTTAAACATAGACAATTGCAAAAGGTATTTTTAATTGTAATTATTATTATTATTATTATTATTATTATTATTTTGGTCCAAGATGGCCTTGAACTCCTGTCTCTACTTAATAGTTTGTTGACGTTTTGTTTGTGTGTTTGTTGTAATACCTTGGCCAACCTCAGACTTCCACTAGTAGAGAATGACCTTGACCTTCTGGTCGGCAACCTTCAGTTTAAGAAAGGGCGCTACACAGGGCAGGCAGGTGCTTTTGTCAACTCTTACCCCAGTTTCAGGAGTTTTCCAGTTACAAACATTTTTTTTTTGGTTTTTCGAGACAGGGTTTCTCTGTGGCTTTGGAGCCTGTCCTGGAACTAGCTCTTGTAGACCAGGCTGGTCTCGAACTCACAGAGATCCGCCTGCCTCTGCCTCCCGAGTGCTGGGATTAAAGGTGTGCACCACCACCGCCCGGCTCAATTACAAACATTTTAAGACTCCAAACCTTTCTCCAAATCTCTTTCTCTAAGGAAAAGCTACTAGTAGTTATTCTGCAGGTAAAGGAAACAAAAAGTAATTCTGGAATACTTTACTCAAATATCCACAGTATTGCCAAGATAACATGTAGTTCTCGTTGTTGGCTGTTGCTGTTAAGGCTGGTGATCTTGCCCAGGGACGTACCACACAAAAGAATTACTATTGAGCTCTACCTCTGGTCCTGATAAAAAATCTGATGGAGACGTGTTTAACTCTTATTAAATATTTGAAATCTAGTGTCTTTTGCATAAACAGCTCTTATACCCCAGTAACCTCTTTGGAGGTAAATCCGGTGCTATATCAACTACTGCCCATGTGAGCAGTTCACATATGGAACTGTCTCTCAGTCATTTCATACTTTACTCCTATTTTAATTCTGTATTTACTGTATTTTAAAATAAAAATGTTTAGCATTTGTTCAAGTTTCTGATTATATGATTATAGCTCCTATAAAAGCCCAGTACTTTTTAGACACAAATGAGACTTGAAGCCAAACTTAAGAATTGCTACTCTATCGCATCATTTCTGGCAAAAAAGTAAAGTTGGTTTTAACATTTTCTTCTATTTTTAACTTAATCTGTAAGCAGATAATGCACACATCTTTGCGTAACAGAGAAATTAAGTTAGCCTCACAGTACGCCATATCTGAGAGCTGCTTCTGGGGCCTTGAAGGCAAATGAAGACCCACACACAAACCCTTCTGAACCCAGGGTTACACACGGCAGCTCCCTTAAAGACTGGGAGGTTACGTGTCTGGGAATCAAGACTGACATCAGTCATCTTAAAACATGTTCATCTCCAGAAGACACAGACTGAGCGCCCACAAGCATGACAATATTTTTGCCAAATTTTTCCAGAGTTCAAGTAATTCATAAATACAAACCAATCCGTTCACTATTATAATAGAACCACAGTACAGGCTATAAGAAATGCTCTCTCCAAACTTTTCAACGTGGCCCAGCAAGAGAAAGCAGGCTGATATTATCCCAATTTCAACAGGTGTATAACAAGAAAACCCATCTTAGCTTCAGAGGGCAAAATGCAATATGAGAAATGAGAACACGGGGCCCATATCCTGGACTCCTGTTCTGTTGCTTGGTTCCCTAGGCCTGAAACAGAAGCTGTGAATAACTGGAGAGCAAGGAGGATACAGGAATTATATATATAAACCCAAACTCGGAACCAATGGGGAAACATAGCCAAACTCTGAAACCTATGCCTGACCCTAAGATTACCACCCAGTAAATTAACTTCAGGTACCACTTCTCAGTCCCAATTCGCAATAGAAAGGAAGCAATCAAACACACTTAATAAAAGATTAAAGTGTTCCTTAGCTATTGTGGTTTCAAATTTTTGGAACTACTTAACAGGGATGTTATCAAAAGACCTACCCGACTCTGGAGGGCTCTACGTGCATGGCACTTTCCACCAAGCCTGATGGCTGGAGTCTAATTCCTGGGGAGCAAACGGTGGAATGAACCCACTTCCACCTGTTGTCCTTTGACCTCCACTTGAGCACTGTCCCACGCCCCCAAACACAAAATAAATAAATGTAGCAATAATAAACCTAAATGATTCCTTTATGCCAATACTTGCCATCCCAGGACCGGAGGGCAGGGCAAGCAGAGCTGCCCGAGTGGAGACTGCAGAGTACAATGAGTTGAAGGCCAGCTTGAAGTAGATAGTAAGCTCGTCTTAGAAACACACAAAACCACACAAACAAAACACCTGCACGTCTAATGAAATTTTGATTAAAAAAAAAAAAGACTGGACAACTTACTTCTCATATTAACATCTATAGGATTTACACTGGCAGCATGGACTTTGATAATGACTTCGTTTGGATAGTGTATGATAGGTAACATCATGTCCTGTGTGAACCGAAGAACGTCATTCTTTCCATATTTATCTATCACCCAAGCGGGCATAACAGTGCCTCTCGCAGGCGTAGTACTAATCTCTCTAAATGGCCTCTTTGGGATAACTTTGCTTCTCCAGTAGCAGGCGGCGACGGCGGCACATGCACTTCTCCTAAGTACACAAGACTTCAAAACCTCCATCCTGAGAAGGGATGGAGCCGCGTCCTCAAAAAAAAAAAAAAAAAAAAAAAAGGAAAAGAAACCACCTGGAGTGGGTCAAACTAGCCCCACTGCAATCAATTCAGCCAAATACAGCTAAACCCACTGTCAATTAAAGGGAGAGGAGCTTCCAGAAACGAACTCAACCTAAAGAAGCAATGGAAGGAGGAAAATAGGCTACAATGCTCCCCACATCAGAGAGGCTCCAGTTGACGTCCAGTCGATATTCTGTCCATTGCCCCTTCCTTTCGCTCTCCTCCCCCTTAAAGAAAAAACCGAACAAGCAGGGAGCCCTCGGCGGGGCGAGCAAACTGCATTTGCTCTTCCTTGGCGGCAGTCTGGAATCCAGTCCCAACGCGACCCCAGCCCCGGTCTCCTTGCCTGTCCGCGCGCCGCTGCGGCCCGGAGCGCCGACCAATCGCGTGCAGAGATCATTTCCGCAGCTGGGAGCTCGACCAATCCAAGCGCTCGGTGTTGAAAAGGCCCGTGAGGATCCAAGATGTCTGCGCCCATGCACTGCTAGTGGCTGACGGAGACTTCTTCCTCTGCTCAGGGCCCCTCTGGTACCGGACTGAACCCAAGGACTATGCTGGGCCGGACTCTCCGAGAAGTGAGTGGGAGGTGGCCCGGAGGGAACCCGGGAGGGCGGAGACACTCGAGGACCCCGAGGTCAAGGTCGCCCCGGGTCACCCGGCACGGCTCAGCCCGCCTGGCCGCCTACATTCCTGAGTGGCCAGAGGGATTCGAACCTATCACTTTTAGGCAGTTCACCACCATACCCGTCCCGTCAGGAGAAATGTTTGCACCGCTGAGCCGTGGGGTGGAATTACATTCCTCCTGCGCGATTTGGGGAAGGTTTTCACCCTCTCCCAGCTGTGCTCGCTTAGGGGCGTGGCGAATTTGCAGCATGCAAAATTCCAGCGAAATAATTGGTGGCTCAAAGAAAAGCTGCATTCTGTATCTTTAGAGACTCCCAAATAACTAGGATCCCTACCACTACCGTCACTCCTGGACATAACATTTGAACCCCTGCGAAAGCTGTAGGTCGCAACCTATATATAGCAGAAATTTTGACAGTACTTTAAAGGAGGCGGGGATGTGAGAGACAGGGAGATTTAAACGTTGTGAATCTAAGGTGTTTCTGAAGCACTCACCGATGCTTCCTCCCGACTTCACTGCAGCAAGGTTCAGAACACTGTTTGCAGTCCCCACTGATAGTGGCAGAAACATCGCAAGTCAGAATCAAGAATATTGTGTGTTATGAATAGCAGCGGAATTTTGTGTGTGTGTGTGTGTGTGTGTGTGTGTGTGTGTGTGTTATGAATTGCAGTGGTTCTTTTCTTTTATCCATATATGCAGCTTCTCTAAGCTTGTAGAAATGTAACTTTAATTGCAGGAAGCAAAAACTTTTAATATTTTCCTAAATATTTCCTCAGCTTGTATGAAATTCGTATATCTTTCGATTTTATTGTGTTAAGGTTCTTGATTCTAAAAATGGCTGTTTGAGTTATTGGCTTGAGTTTGACTTAAAAATTATTAAATGAATTTTGATGTGAGATTATTCAGCTATTTCTGATATAGCCCTAAACATGGTCCCGTCATTTTGTGCAGAGTATTTTGCAAAGGGTGTTCTCAGCACTCTGATAATTTTCAAGTCGAAATATTGGTAAACTGAAAAACATCAAAGCAGCTACATCCTGCAGTATCAAATAGTCCGCCAAGATTTAATTATTTATTTAAAAACAAACAAGCATGTGCAAATTTGTTTTAATCTTTGATAATAAAATTATGTTTACCAAAGAATTTTTAAAATATTTATTTTATATGTATGGCTATTTTGTCTGCATACATATCTGCACGCCAGAGGGCATCAAATCCCATGGGACTAGACAGTTGAGAGCTGCCATGTGGGTGCTGGGAATTAACTCTAGACCTCTGGAAGAGCAGCCAGTGCTCATAACTGCTGAGCCACCTCTCTAGCCCCCTCCCAAACTCTTTTAAAATAAATTCATTTATGACTTATCAATAAATGATTTGTATACCTTCTTTACATACCAGTATACCAGGGTTTTGAAAAAATGCACTGGCAGAAAAGGACTGTGAGTGGAAAAGCTTAAGGAGCCCTGCCCTAGACGCTTGCTGGAGAGTTCTTCCAGGTGCCCCATGACACACGCTAAAGCAAAGGTGCCACTGTTCCATGCCAAAAAGAAAGCAAAACCCCAGAGCGTAACTGTTATCCATTGGCCTGTAGACTGTCCTTCACCCCACACAGTCATTAGATCACTAAGCCCTCTATAGTCTGTTCTGTGATTTTTAATATGGGTCACCTGGCTTTGCTTGAGGCTAAACTCTCCATCTTTGCCACAGTCTGCTTGCCCATGCAGAATCACCTGGGGCCTTGGTTAAAACTTCACCTGGTTCCCACTCTAGATTTACAGACAGATCTGTGTGATTAAAGCCCAGAGTATGTGGCTTACTAGGGTCTCTGGGTCGATTCTGATAACTCAGTATTGCGTCCCTGTCCTGCCTACCATTTTTCTTCTGTTTCTCCATTAGGGAAGTTTCTCACCCTGGCAGCATTTCAGGAATTATAAATTGTAATGAGACATTTAAATCCATAGGCTTTTAGTAATACTTTACTCCAAAATACATTTTGTTTTGCTATTCTATGTTGTATGTGACATATCCTACTGTTAGTGAAAAATCAAATTTGTTCTTTTCTTTTTCTCTCTCTCTTTGTTGTTGAGACAGAATCTTGTGCCCAGGCTAGCCTTGCCAAATTTGTTCTCTAAAAGAGTGGGGACTCCCTAAAACTTACTTAAGATACAACCTATAAAAACAATATGGTCTGCTTTTTCTCTCTTAGGCATCTTTGGTGGAAGAGAGAGATGTGTGTGTATGCTACCCCTTTTTGACACTGAATGAACCATTGTAAAAACAACATTTATTTCATGGGGGGAAACCCATAACAAGGGAGTTGGCCCAAAGGAAGACCAAGAAGTTGCCTTGACATGACTTTTACTTACAACTCCTTTGACAAATATTGCTAGTGCCTACTGTATTCAAAGACTGTTTGGTAGTTATTTTACCAGGCGAAAAAGAATATTCTGTCTACTTTATAATTTTTCCACATTCCTGTCCTAATGCTCGAAACTTTACTAGTTAGATTTAAATCAGTACACATTCGCTTTTTAATGTGTGCAGATGCCCGAGAGTAGTGAAAGATTCATTCTTCATGTTGTAGTCTTGTAGTCTATCAGTTGAATCGGTTCTCTTATTTCCTAACACTGTAGGTGAGATAATTGATTAAGAAAGAGAAATTATGCTGGTGGGGCAGCTAGAGGAAGAAGCTCGAAACTGTGAGCATTTGAGGCAATTTAGGGGCTATTAATGGAGCTTAGGACAGCAGAAGAACCCAGGGACAAGGCACCAGGATGTGGTGCTAGATGAGAGGTAAAACCCAGGAGGGGTGGCAGCCACAGCTTCAACCTCAGGTGAATCTCAGTGAGTCTCAATTCCAGGGCAGCCAAGGTTACATAGTTATCAGGAATCACCTTTTTGGGGTGACTCTTGCCGCGGTCCTAGCCTGCAGTGGGTTCATAAATTCTAGGGTAGGGGCGTGAGGATTAGAATAATTAGGCCAAAAGAACAGAGATATAGGAGAAAGATGAGACAGAAACAGGGAGGGAAAATCAGAGAATACTGAATCCTCCTCGTTTATTCTTCCAGAAGCTTGCCTACTTCACTCCAAAAGGGGAGGGAGGGAAAGGCAACAGACTTCATTAGCGTGACACAAGGAATAGGCTTGAATTCTCCCACCTTTCGTTCAGGTGGAGCAGATCTACTGCAACACTCAAAATACTAATTAACCACACCCTAGGCCAGGATCTCTCATTTGTAGCCACACCTGTTGTAGAGCAAAAAACAAGCTCAAACTCTGTGACCTTCAGACAAGGTGGAACAGGCTCAGGTGTGTGTGTGTGTGTGTGTGTGTGTGTGTGTGTGTACACACATACACTGACAGTAGTTACCTAGACATATTTAGGATGGTTTAGCTCTTAGCGTACTCTATCCTGGCATGATCCCAGTTTTCTTGGCATTAGACTCCAAGCTACTGCAATTAATCCAATAGTTTGTATGGGTTAGCTTCTCAGAGTTCTAAACTAAAAAGATTTTGTCTTAGTCAGTATTCCATTGCTAGGAAGGGACACCATGACCGCAACAACTCTTATAAAGGAAAGCCTTTAATCGGGCTGTCTTAGAGTTCAGAGGTTTAATCCGTTACCATCATAGCAGGGAGCATGGAGGCACACAAGCAGACATGATGTATACAAGTAGCTGAAAGTTGTATATCCAGATCCACAGACATCAGGAAGAGAGTGACACTGGGCCTGGCAAGGGCTTTTGAAACCTCAAAGCCTACCCCTAGTGACACTCTTTCTCAAACAAGGCCACACCTACTCCATCAAGACCACACCTTCTAACCCTTTCAACTACTGCCACTCTAATTCAAATGATGAGCCTGTCACCACAGATCCATCACTATAGTAGATTCCCAGTTTTAAACAGCTGTCCTCCCACTAATGTTCAGTGAAGGCCTCTCTTCCAGGCACTAAGGATTGGTTGAAGACAGAAGCTCTTCCCCTGTTAACACAACACTGTTTTTAGATAGGAAAATAATCATGAATAAGTTTTCTTCTAACGTTAAATGATATAATTTCAGATAGTGTAAGTACTGAGAAGGAAAGTTAAGCAAATTACAGGGAGAGCATAAGTGGAGTTGGATAGTTTAGGCAGAGTGGCTGTGGAAGGCTTCTTTGATTTAGTGCATGGTGTTTAATAGAGGCTAGGAAGGAAGGGCGGGTCTGGAAGAGCTGGGATATAATGTTCTGGACAGATGGAAGAATGAGTGCACACCAAGAAGCAAGAGCAAGTTAGACACAGTCAAGCCATCATGAGGTCAGCATGCCAGGAGCACATCAGCTAGGAGGCTGGAGAAAGATAGGTCAGAGAGACAAGATGCCCATAATAGGGAGAATGATTTGACTCCGAGTACAGGACAACCTCTGGACAATTTCAAGCTTGGCATTGGCTTTAATTTTATCTTGTGCGTATGACTGTCTGGATGGCTCCGAGACCAGAAGAGGAGGTCTAGTTCTCTGGAACTGTAGTTACAGTTTTGAGCCACCATGTGAGTGTCGGGCCCAAACTGTGGTTCTCTGCAAGAGGAACAAGTGCTCTTAACCACTGAGCCATCTCAACTGTCTTAATTGCCTTTATCTAGGGAATTCTCATTTGAAAAATAGTTACTTTTTCACCATGAATCCCTTATGTTATCTGTAGGTTAATGGAATGGTTCTATACTTTATTGAAAGGGAGTAAACATCATAGCCATATACAAAGAAGAAATGGGATTTAGTGGCTCTGAGAGCTGGTTTTAGAAACAGGATCAGGTCTTGGTTGAATCTCAGCTCTGCTTTTTTCTAATTCTGTGACCTCAAGCAAGTAGTCATTTCATCTGTAATAATAATAGTAGCAGAATATCCATGTGACCTCTGCCTCCTCGGAACACCTCTCCCTTATGTCCAGGCATCACACCATCCCAGCTCT